GACTCCCAGGGGTTTATCAGTTTAGAAAGACAACCCACAGTCTCCCGGTCCTGGAAGTTGGGGGTTGGAACATGTGTGGCACATTGCTCCTTAAAAGTGTAGGCTACTCTGACGGTCTTACGCTGACCACCACCGCCGCTTGGTTAGGCTTTTGTGCCAAATGCTTTGTTTGGAGATCCAAATAATTCTACCGTATAGGCTTGAGCGTCCTGGCAATATCCCAACCCAACACAATAATGAGCCGTTTTACAAATAAACTCATGCCACACCAGCCGTTGCGTGATGCCGTCTACCGGATCGCCTTGTTTGTTGCACACAGTGTAGCTGGTAGGCGAAAACAGGCCACTACTTACGTTTCCATTCTTTCTCTTTTGCATATTCGTTCCGTTTCATCCATTTACCCCGTTAGCGATGTTTCCATTGGCCCGTATTTATTGGATGACATCCATTCGCCGCCCAACACCATTAGCCGCAATATCTACGATTAACTCGGCCGCCGTGGCCGAAATCATTTTGTAATCCTCTAGGCTCAGTTTGCCTGACAGGTTGTAGGGTTCACACCCTCCCACACAGCAGACGGTAGACTGCCCTTGCGTGTAGCTGGACTCGCCTGCTATTCAAATGTGCTATCTCTGAGACGTGGATTCAGGATCCAAGTATGGTTGTCGAACTGACCTCCCCATCTGTTTCTGCTCTCTTCTGGTCGCCTAACTCTGGTGATCGAGAAGTCGCTGCGACTCGTTCCGCGAGTGTTGTCGCTGTTCTAGGCACCAAGCTGAAGGGTTCCAGCATGAAGGATCACCCGTTGTCAGTCACTTCTATGCAGTTCATCTGACAGTCTGTGAGAGTATTCGTTAAGCGCGCCGATAATCGTTGCATGTTCGTTGTATTTGCTTATGCGATAAGACTGTTAGTCTGGTGTTCTCAAAGACCGGCCTTATGATATTTTGATCTCCTTATTGTGACGGGCTAAGAGCTCAGGTGTTGGGGTTGCCGGGGCTATGATAGCGCAAGTAGTTGGACTTGGCGCTGCTGAGACTCGATTTGGTGGTCTTTTACGACTGGAATCGGGACGGCCGGATAACAGCGAGCGCCTGCTGCAGTTGCGTGTTGACTACAGACTGTTTCTGTGCAGTAGCGACTTCTCAGACAAACGAAGACGCCACATGGTTCCCCCCTCACATACGAGCCAACCTCCAACACCTATAGACTACACTTCCATTAGCCAGCTGCCTCAGTGGTTAGAGTGAGAATTTACTGACCGTAAGGTTCGTGGTTCGAATCCGACCTCTGCATCTCGACTTTTGCTGTCTAGGCTTTGACAACCTGGCGGTATCAAGCCCTCGTACTTCCTTCTGGTGGCATTTTTGCTAGGCCACGTAAGTTGGTACAGCTAGATGCATATCCTCCGGTCTGAAAGCAGTGTATCTCACTTGAAGGGATTTCGCTTCGATTAACTTTCATGATACTCGACTGTTTTAGAGATGTCGAAAATTGTATTGTTTTTGATTCGTCGAAGTCTGGCACCCTCGTTTTCGAAACACTATTTGTGTATTTAATGGTAAATCCTAACCTACCGTAATTTCTATTCCAACACAGATCCTTCTGTGACCCTCTCACGGCCGTGAACGTGAATTAGCTGTATTCCGTGCAATAAAGCAATGAATTTGCAGTTTTGAACAGTGATGTTATTTTTCAATGAAAATGATGATTATGCCTTGATTGATTTCAGGACAGCTATTACCTTTCCCTGTATCATCCTCATCGGAATCAGCAGCATTACCGTTGGTACGGCGGCCTCCCTGCTCGCAATCATTGACTTTGTTTAAACATGTTTACAGGCTTGAGGTCATGGAAGCGAAGATGGCCGTTGAGGAAGGAAGTTTGCTATAAGCATTCAGTAATGCCTACATTATCATCGTTATACGCTGCATAAACCGCTTACGTGTAGACTTTTCACCAATTATCAGGGTGTGTGGGTATATTGCTACGGATTACAGGCTTTCGTATTTCGTTTCCAATTCATTGCTTGATCGGCACGTTTCCACTCATTTGTGAGATAAGTGCACTCCGAGGAAATACGCTGACTGATGTATGAAGGGTGGCAAGGACAGCGTAGTCTCTGGAGTATGGTCGGTCAATCTATTGTGGCTGATTTATTCTTCCGAAAACCATTCGCCCTATCCAATGTGTACACCAGACTCAGGCAATGCCCCGAGGACGCCAGCGGTCAAACACTGAATGATTTCCAACGTCCTCGGTGCGCAACGGCAAGGTTGTTGACCCGTGGACAACATGGAATCTAGTTTTTTCTTGCTACTTCCCCTTAAGTTTTTCATTGACACACATTTTCATTGCGCTGAGCTTTGGTTGTTAAATTCACTGAGTGCATATTGTGAATGACTTAGTACTTTAAGATGCTAAACTTTGTCTAGTTCCCCCCGATGCACCTGGTCGTTACCCGGTTGATCCGCTGCATTTTAATTTGCGACCGTGTTGTGTCGCGCTTTCAGGACAATTTTTTCCACGGACATCGTTCTGGCGGTGTTGTTCATCTCAAAATCAATAGCGTGGTTCTTTTGGCCTGAGAGTTATTTTGCTACACAGTGTCAGGAGACGTATGAATAATATCCAACCATTTCAGAATTAATCTCGAGGCCTTTTTGCTGCCGGAGTTTGATGGCAAGCTTCTTAATCTCCGTTTACTGATGTTGTTCAATATGAGTCAGAACTCGGGTGTGATTTTTTAATGTGTAGCAATCGAAGACCGACCACTTTGGCGAGACTGCCGAACCGACCATCCGCCAGTGCACTAGGCTTGCTCATATTCTTCGCTGACCACACTGGCTTACGCAATGATATCATCTGGAACACTACGGTAATCTTGAGGAAATGGTGAGGAATATTGTCAATGAAACTGTTCTCCCTAAGTATTCAAACCAGAGTCTTGGTGGCATCTGCGAAGCCAGAGTTACGGAGAGTGCCGGGAGTGAACTATATATGTTAACTAATTTTAGGATTTCACCAGTCTCTTCATCAACTGCCGAAATTTCCATGCGTCACCAAAATGATCAGAGCCATGTTGAAAGACATCCTTTTTATTTCCGAAAATAATTTTCGAAAGTAATTCCAGATTCAGTATCGAAATCGGATTTAATAATAGGAGTCGCAACAACATCTGTGGAAGCTGTTGGACACCCGATTGTTGTTGTCGTATTCACAGACATTTTATGTGTCAGAGGTACAGTATGCCTCATTCGAGATCCGAAAGGTTTTTGTTGTTGTCGTAAAATTACACAAAGCTTCTCTTTCGAAGGTGGCACCGTGTATTTAGTTTTTGTATTTCTCGTGCAAATGGGAATACAAAGCTGACGTCTCTCCTTGGCCTTCTATACAGCCCCGAAAACCAAAAGTTAAGGTACGCTGTCACGACTTTTAAAGCAAAAATAAAAATCATTACAACTGTAACCGTACAGTTATCAGGGAATTCCCCACCGGGTTGCTCTGAAGTCCTCCTGAGGCGTCGAGAAGCATCTGCCCCTTAGGGCTCGATCCTGACTGGCTACCCCTTTGGCCAATCAGGGGATGCCGTCTTTGGTCCGTGGTCCGCTCCTGACACATCTGTCTAGCCGATGTGATTCTCAGTCACTGAGGACGGCTGACCTCCGGACATACACTTACCGGAAATTACTGTCATGTAGTATGCACACTATGAGACCACCGGAGGACTGTTATTCTCCGAAGGCAGGTGTTCACAACAATATATGTGAATGGAAAACAAAGAAAGTTGTGAGCCGAAGCCAAGGAAGCGAGATCCTACATCACCAATACTCACGCGTAAATCAGTCAGACTCACAGATCCATACACTACAGTCCGCACACCCGAAAGGTTCCCGTGTTTCGACAACTATTTTTTCTGGTCCGGTCGGTTATTTTGATCACATTTGCGAAATGGGTTATTCTCCAGAAGTTCGTGAATATCACCCGCCGTTCACGTAATTGTGGATGTGAGAATATATGGTGACCTTTCCGAAGGCTTTTATGCATGCAGTAGTATCTGAAAGTTGTACACCCTCTCCATTTTTGCTTATTTTCGTCACTGTCTTACCGGTAAGACGAACCCTGGAGGGTCACCAAACCCCCAGTACTCAGGTCTCTTCGAGCGAGAACGTTGTCGACGTAATATGCAGGGATGACATTGGTTTTACTTTTGAAACAGTAAGCGCTGGCATGACTAGAAAGACTTATAAAAATCATCAAGTTCTTTAGCATGTATACGTATATTTTGCGCCCACAAAGTGCAAAGTCATGTTGCTAAACGTTTACTTTTTGGACATGACTTCAAGAATTCAAGGATTGACTCTGAACGTTGCTGAACGCTGTACGTATATTGGTATTGTATTTCTGACGGTAGTATGACAGATCAGGCGAAGAATGTCCAAGACCAGAGTTTCATTTTCCAACTTGTGGCACCAAAAGGCCATCGCATTCGATTTCAAAGGATGCGGGTATCAGACTACAGTGTGGACTGTAATTGTTGCAGAACTAAGTCAACTCGGACGGAGGATCTGAATCATCAAGTTTTCGACCAAAGACACCTCGGAACTATGGCTGAATCCAGCAGGAACCAGCGAATTTGGAATGGGTTGATCAGGAGGTGTATTCTTGTTGAATCAAATAATGCTTCACTCAGAAAATGCATCCAACAATACAATTTAAGATAGCTGGGCTCTGCTCTACGCATGCTGAGTTACGTCCTGTCGAGAAGAGATTCATTTTCGATTCCTGTTTAGAAGTGATGGAAAGCTAGAGGTGAGCAGATTTTAACGTGGCAGAAGGGAGTGAAGGACAATGCGAAAGGTTCGGATGCTGTTTGCCTTCAAGAGTGGGGTCCGCGTGGCCTCCCCTGCTTATCTGGAAGAAATGAACAATATGGTGTCCAATCGATAGCAGTGGCGTTCATGTTGACAATTACTCTACAGATAGTCTTACAGTACAGGTGTGAGCACCTTAGATGTTTATGGTAAGTTGGTCCTTGGTCCTCTTCGCTGTCCCATTTTTTCTTTCCATCTTAGGGATTTATTTACATAGATTGATGTGTGGGTACGACAAAGAATCACGGATGCTCTCCGCTGGTTTTGTCATTTTTGATGTTGGGTTGTCTGATCCGTATTACAGATTTGCAAGGAAAGCAGATTCCCGGTGGAATGGAAGGTGCGTAAGCATTCCATCCGAAAATCGTCGGGGTATCGACCTGGTAGCTGTGACATGCAACATCATCGACAGCATGACATCAGTGTTCAACACCGATGCTTCACTGCCGTACAACCATGATTTATTTGAGAGCCTTATTGTACAGAAAAGAGTAAATGTGGCCAGGAGGTGGACTTAGTGATAGCTTACCAGTCGTTTTCCGGGTGATCGGATTTGTGGGAATCAAGTCGGCTAAAGATGTATTGACCATATTTTTACTTTCAGACAGGTTCTTGAGCAGCATCGCTCCTCCAAAAGCCCAGCGTTCTTCATCTAAAGACCTCTTTTGACCGGAGATCGTCATAAACTCTAACAGTGCCTGTTAGAGGTCTGTTAGGTCTTCCTACTAAATTTCACCTCCAAAGTCATTGTTTACAAACTCATGTGAGCTCGTAAGGGTATGTAGCAAGCTGTCGTCTGAGATCACAACTCCAAGTGGTGTAAAACAAGGCCACCCTTTTACCATTCTTCTTCAACTTTGTTTTTGGCATCCTCTTGGAAGCTTTTCCGTCTGCCTCTGAAATTTCAGGGATAGGAATGCGTTCGTTGCCCCCGCGCACGGACATTGAGTTTATGGATGCTGCTTCTTGGTTGTATCCTTCGTAGAAGCAAGTGAACAATTCCCCGATTTACTGTGCACGTCACACCCGCAAAATGTAAAGTGTTGCTGCAAGCCTGGATGGAATGAAACTCAGTGCTCTTGGTTGCAGCCCAGCCATTCATGTTCGGAATGGCTCAGTGTTTAAAGGATGAAGATCTGCGGTTCGAAGCCGTCCTCTGCATCTCGACTGCTCCTGTCTAGATTTGGGTAACCTTGCAGTATTCCAGCCCCATGCTTCCTTCTGGTGGCATGGCAGTTAGGCACCGAAAGCATGCTACAGCTTAACGATTTATGTTTCTATTTTCCCAATCACGCAGTCGGCGTTGCTCGTACGTCCAAGCCACCGCCTTCAGTTCGCAACTGCCCACTTCCCGGTTTCTTCAAACCACGAGTGAATCACTACCAACCAACTGATTATACCATCGCCTCAAATGCCCGCCTATATGCCTCCTACTCTCCCATATCTCGAAGACCGCAACCGTGGCACCTGAAGTCACCGTCCGTAGCCGATAACCTAAACGAAACTGAACTTCAGAGTTCAGATTAATCAAGAGTAGTTTTCGTGACGATTCCCATATCTCTTGACCGCTGGTCGATTCATTTAAAATCCACCCATCCTGCCTCTTTGGTTAGCTGTTTGTTCTCACTGGCGTCGACGAATATCCGGAGGAATCGGCAGTCAAACACCGAGTTTACTCAACATCTTAACATTTTTTACTCAACATCTGTATCTTGCGATCGTAGTTATTGTTAGCGCTGTGCCTGCTACTTTCGGTGGATAGAACCATGTTATGCTGACACCACAGGAACCGTAGGTTGGCATATAACCGTCTCTGTTTTGGAAAAATTGTCGTCTTTCAATACACTACGAAGAATGACGCAACTGTCCGGATAATTGGATTCGCTAGCCACATTGGTGAGTTTAGTCTCAACCAATGCACTTCGCAGGTGTGAAGCGTCTGCCAAATCATTCAGTTGGACCATTCAGTGTACTTAATATTTTTTGGGCATACGATCCGTTTTGGGACCATGTTGTCCACATGCTTGGTGTCTCGGGGCTAATGGATAGAGAAAATTTTGACGCAACATACGTCAGGTACATATCAGCACAGAGCCCGAGTTAGCCCCTTGGTTAAGGCACAGACTTACTCACTGGAATTTTCGTGGTTCGATCCCAACTCCGGCGTCTCGAATGTTCCTGTTTAAGCCTGAATAAACTGACAGTATACCTTAGCCATATGGCCAGATTTTTTATATGAAGATTCGGAAGCCCTTGCAAGGTACTAGGAGCACTCTTGGTTTGTGTTTAGTTAGGCAATTCTCCGAAATTTCTAGTGACCTAATGACATTATTCAGAACTGCATCTTGGGCTGAAGTGAGTGGTATTTTCAATTGAGGCAGACATTAAACCATGTTTCAGAATCTTAGCACCTATTTGACAGGTCGATTATCAGAGGCAGGACCAGTATTAACACTGCATGCACCACACACGCATGAGCTCTTCAGAAATTTTTCGACCTCAGTTACCTTGGTGTTTTGGTGTAAATGACCCAAAGATTGGACATTCAAAACTGATAACTTTCAGCTCAAGTCTCACGGGTCCACGCATTTTCAGGTACCAGATGAGGAATTACTATACCATACATGTGGTAGTGATAGTACTTGACGCAGTCCAGTGTGAATTTACTCTTTGATCTTATTAGCTGCAGCTAAAGGTTTTGGATTTTGTTTCTTTTCAGCGTTTTTTTATTTGGACAAAATGACTGCAGCATTATAGATCATGCTGTTCCATCGGTTGATTAGAATTGCGAGTATTAGGGGCTATGCCCCTTTCTCGTCCAGGCGATCACCTATTAACGCACCGGTTGGCAGTCAGTATGAGAGGCGCACCCGTTTATACTACACCATGGCGCTTGGGGTAGCCATGGTTGGATTTGGATACGCTTGTGTCCCATTGTACAGAATTTACTGTTCCGTGAGTCTTCTTTACTGCATTTCCTGTGCTTAATCACTTCGCCGCATCAAATGTTTCTCATCAGGAAGCAGTCTGTAGCTGTCGTGTAGATCGGTAGAGGGAACTCCAGGATGTATTGGTAGGATTGCTTTGATCTAAGTGCGTATCTTCTGGGACTCGTTTTTACATAGTCTTCGCCTAAATGTGCACGTTCTATGGTACTTTTGATTTCCTTTGGAAGCTACTGGCTTTTCTAGCCCAGACGGCACGTAAATTCCGTTTCGTAATGAACAGACCCTACTGACTACTGATTGCGTTGCGATTGCGTATTTCCGCCATCCTTCTACAGTTTCCTGTGTGATGACGGAAGCCATTGCAATATGTCACGTGACTTAAATTTCATTCTCGTAGTATATATATTGTCTCTTTCGTTTGAAGATCCATATCCTCAGCTGACTGGCTAACCTCTACATCCCCCAAAGGCCTCCCTTTGATCCAACAATTTTGACCACATCGATGAAGTCAGTTAAAAATCTGAACAGTTTCACCTGATTGAAAGACATCCACGTGGTGTGCTGTAACCTGGAATTGAATTTCTACACATCCATTGTACATGTAATACCATGCTGGTCGATCGCATTGAAAATAATCGTTCACTTTAATTGTATTCCAAGGCTTTGTTTTATATGTTCCCAACACTTGGGTGGTTTTTAATTGATTGGGTTTACTTTCCTCGTTCGCGCTGCAGTTATGATCCTAATTAGAAGTCTTACGAATAAACTCATTTCCTATTTGCTTAGCGTTAAGGACTAAGGGATACAGACCAAGGGCAAGCCGCCATACTGTCGTGTCGTCATCGGACTTGTTGCAAAAAGCTCCATATCCCTAGGGAAGGCGGTCATTCATTACCCACGCGTAAGACCGTGAAGACGACTGAGCCTCGTGTTGATGAGTGATTATCAACGGGGTCGATTCAACATCTTTTGCGGACCTCATTCAACACAATTCCGGCACACAAAAACAAATGCATTGGCTGGGCAGTCCTACTTAGAAATGGCGAATCCGCAACTGGGATCAGTTACGTGTTATTTCATGCGAAGCTCCCACGGCACTGAACTTGACAGTGGCTACTTTCATCTACCATTGTTCCGTCGGGGCTTGTCACCTGTGAATCTTTTTCCAACAAAGCTTTGGAGTGGACAACAATGATTCCTTTGGAAGGCGATGATTGGGCAATCAGAACTTGTGGTAATCTCGCTTGCACTTGTACAGAAACTGAGTAGCGCACCGTACCAAAGTGACATTATTCAATCACTCGTATCAAACTACAACACCAACTGGAGAAAAGTTCTTGGGAGACGGAACACGCAATGAGAGCGCCATCGTCAAATTGAGTACTCTAAAATCTTTGTATCCCCCTGGCTGAGCATCACATGATTCCATTCGCACACCCCTACACAAGAAACATTACCAGTGTCGAGCATGCTTTCACTTCTTGGATGGACTGGGTAGCTAAGGTGTGTCTGTCGTAGCCTGCTGGACTCGTGTTAGGTAAAGCTAGTTAAGGATGCTTGATTGAAAATTGACGATGTCTTGCTCCGATACGATTCTCGTATGTGTTTGTTTCACCACCAGTTTAAGGCGTTTGTAACTTCCCTCGATCGCTCTTTTTGGGGCGGCCCATTTGCACATATTTTCCAGTCTTTCTCCACCCTTCGCCCGGAGCTTGTTATCCTGATGGCTGTGGCACAATTATATCATTATCAGCTATAGGAACTGCGTAGTTGCCGTACAGTAGTTACAGCTGTAACGGTTTCGTTCAGCGATGAATTGGGGAGGTGGGGTAGGTAGCTGCACGTTGAAAGCGAGAGCTGATGTAACTGATACGTAGATAAGATACAGGTTTTTCAGTGGAGTTTTAAATGGGGAGATTGGGAGGGGAACTATGCTTTGAAGTCAATAGCTTGGATGCGCGAGCGTCACTGAAAGCGTGACTGGGTCGTCTGACAATGCCTCTAACCATTGATGTCTCTCGTCTCTGGGTCTATATCCAGGTAGACGCCAATGACCAGCGCATCTGAGTTTGCTGGTAATGGCTTTCATACGTTGCTGCCAAGTGATTGACCTCCCATGGCTTGTTGCCACCCGTCGTGAGGTTGTACGGAAAGAACCCTTCGAGGAAGTCGGCCTACTGTATGCGGAACACGTGACCAAGCTAGCGCAACCTATGCAGTAGGATCATTTCACTTATCTACACAACTGTGTACTTGTGTATTGCCGTGGATGCTAACATGCATAATGGTGAGCAAAGTCGAGAATACTTAGAAATGACCGAAGTATGATGCCAACGGTTCAGACTGCGCGAGTTTATAAGCTCATGATTGGCATTTTTATGAACGGGATTTGAACACCATATGGAAGCCTTCAGACTGCCTTGGGGTCCCAGTTATGACTGTCTGTGCACATGTTCCAGAGATTTGGCACTACAAAGATCAAGGGGGCCTAATTTTGTTCAGGAAGGATCATTCATCACTGAAAAACAACGGTGATTGCTGCTATGTCTGTTCCTTCTAAAATGGAATCATCAGTATTTGGTAGCAAGTTGGGCAAGATAATTCTGGTGTGTCCAGACTGTGTTGGTGGAGTGGTAGTAACACGCTTGCCGCATATGTTTGATGTTGGGGGCACTACCGAGGATATATACTGCTGATGAGCTCCGGTGAGATCAAAGCTGGAGCCCAGCGCTTTCTTTTTTGGGTGTACTAATCGGGACAGGAAGATGTGGGTATGGAAGCCAATAATTAGCGGGGCACCCGCAATGGGGATTCGATCTTTTTATCTCTCCAGCTGGTGAGATATTACAACGTGGATGGCGTGTCAACAAAAATCGGAAGCTTGTTCGGACTCAAAGCTTCACCAACAAGGACGTATACCTCGTCGGCCAAAAAACTTTGTCATGTGCTTGAAGCCCCTCAGCTCTGGATGTGGCTTTATACAGGTAAGTATGGGACGTAGCAGACCGCATAGCCAGTCAACCTTTTTGATTGCACTAAACCAGACAAATGCCGCCCACCTTAGCACTGTTGTATCTGCTCAAATTATTTCACTTCAGCTGTTAACATTTTTCAGTGACTATACATGTTCGTGATTTTACCATACAGTGGTCAGATTCTCAAAATTCCCACCTCCCTTTACTTCACACCATATGTTGGATGCCACAGTTATTTCGCTCCTAGTATTTCATCGATTTTCAGCCTAATTGTTCCGACTAGAATGTTTTTTTGTAAAGAACAAGAGATGAATATGTATTTCATCGATTTTCAGCCTAATTGTTCCGACTAGAATGTTTTTTTGTAAAGAACAAAGAGATGAATATTAGGAAGCACGTGTTTGCAAACCTTATGATTCCAATGATTTAGGTACTTATTTATACTGTCAATGTGACTCATTTTGCATAGCTGTTGTGGTGTTCAATGTCTCGGTTTGGTATTTCTCGATCAGTGTTCCCTTTGTTTTTTTTTCTAACGACAGAAAGTCGGGACTGGCACTAACAGTGAATTCGCGCGTGCTAAAACAGAAATTATCAAAACAATGAAACCTGTGAAAGAGCGGCAGATCACGGTCCATTTTTCTGCTGATACACATTCGAAAATGGCGTGGAAATTCAAACCAGTTCAAAATGAGGTGAACATTAATGGCGTTTACCGGTTTCTATCGTGTCCGCATCAGTTTGCCGTAGCTAATGCTTTGAGCTTTCGCAGGAGTCATTTTCAAGGTTTCTGTTGCACACCACTGAGCACGTAGTTTTAATGACAACAAACACACTAAAACCAACAACCATGGGTAAATGAATACCTATGAGGATCATACACCATATTGTGGTGTATGTAGTTCGGGTGTATTAAATAGTGCACCGGTGATCACGACCGACAGCTGAACAATCTGAAGGTGGGCGTTTTCTAATCCGTCCTTCCTCGGAGCAGGTAAGCATTGCTGTTTCCTCGAATACGGAGGAGTTAGTTGCACCTGAAAGACTACTGTCCCATAATTTTATCACGGTGGAAAGTATGGCTTTACTCCCAGACATCCTTGATGTTCGATTAATCTTAGTGCGGGATTCCCCGCTCTTCGTTGGACCTTTTGAAGCTGGGTTGCACTTGTATCACTTCAGTATCCGACTACTTCAGTAAGGAAGCAGCTTCAGTTCGGGATTACGCAGCAAAACTCTTCAGCAATTCTCCCTTGGAACGACTGGTTTTAGTTGATCCCATCACATTTCTGTCATGAACGCTAGAGAATGGATTACCGGAGCTAGAGCAATTTTTCCTTCACTAGCTGGCTACACCGACTCTCCTTTAACATATACATATCACGTTAAAACGGATGACTGGTCACCCTCGGAATGACTTTCCGAAGAACCAGGATGGTAGGCATCGTGCCTGTTTTGCGGGCCTTCTCACCGTCGGAAATAACATGAACAGTTTATTCTTGGTTTTGTACATTCCGAAACGTCTTTCTACGTCATTTTCCGTTCAGCGATGAATTGGGGAGGTGGGGTAGGTAGCTGCACGTTGAAAGCGAGAGCTGATGTAACTGATACGTAGATAAGATACAGGTTTTTCAGTGGAGTTTTAAATGGGGAGATTGGGAGGGGAACTATGCTTTGAAGTCAATAGCTTGGATGCGCGAGCGTCACTGAAAGCGTGACTGGGTCGTCTGACAATGCCTCTAACCATTGATGTCTCTCGTCTCTGGGTCTATATCCAGGTAGACGCCAATGACCAGCGCATCTGAGTTTGCTGGTAATGGCTTTCATACGTTGCTGCCAAGTGATTGACCTCCCATGGCTTGTTGCCACCCGTCGTGAGGTTGTACGGAAAGAACCCTTCGAGGAAGTCGGCCTACTGTATGCGGAACACGTGACCAAGCTAGCGCAACCTATGCAGTAGGATCATTTCACTTATCTACACAACTGTGTACTTGTGTATTGCCGTGGATGCTAACATGCATAATGGTGAGCAAAGTCGAGAATACTTAGAAATGACCGAAGTATGATGCCAACGGTTCAGACTGCGCGAGTTTATAAGCTCATGATTGGCATTTTTATGAACGGGATTTGAACACCATATGGAAGCCTTCAGACTGCCTTGGGGTCCCAGTTATGACTGTCTGTGCACATGTTCCAGAGATTTGGCACTACAAAGATCAAGGGGGCCTAATTTTGTTCAGGAAGGATCATTCATCACTGAAAAACAACGGTGATTGCTGCTATGTCTGTTCCTTCTAAAATGGAATCATCAGTATTTGGTAGCAAGTTGGGCAAGATAATTCTGGTGTGTCCAGACTGTGTTGGTGGAGTGGTAGTAACACGCTTGCCGCATATGTTTGATGTTGGGGGCACTACCGAGGATATATACTGCTGATGAGCTCCGGTGAGATCAAAGCTGGAGCCCAGCGCTTTCTTTTTTGGGTGTACTAATCGGGACAGGAAGATGTGGGTATGGAAGCCAATAATTAGCGGGGCACCCGCAATGGGGATTCGATCTTTTTATCTCTCCAGCTGGTGAGATATTACAACGTGGATGGCGTGTCAACAAAAATCGGAAGCTTGTTCGGACTCAAAGCTTCACCAACAAGGACGTATACCTCGTCGGCCAAAAAACTTTGTCATGTGCTTGAAGCCCCTCAGCTCTGGATGTGGCTTTATACAGGTAAGTATGGGACGTAGCAGACCGCATAGCCAGTCAACCTTTTTGATTGCACTAAACCAGACAAATGCCGCCCACCTTAGCACTGTTGTATCTGCTCAAATTATTTCACTTCAGCTGTTAACATTTTTCAGTGACTATACATGTTCGTGATTTTACCATACAGTGGTCAGATTCTCAAAATTCCCACCTCCCTTTACTTCACACCATATGTTGGATGCCACAGTTATTTCGCTCCTAGTATTTCATCGATTTTCAGCCTAATTGTTCCGACTAGAATGTTTTTTGTAAAGAACAAAGAGATGAATATTAGGAAGCACGTGTTTGCAAACCTTATGATTCCAATGATTTAGGTACTTATTTATACTGTCAATGTGACTCATTTTGCATAGCTGTTGTGGTGTTCAATGTCTCGGTTTGGTATTTCTCGATCAGTGTTCCCTTTGTTTTTTTTTCTAACGACAGAAAGTCGGGACTGGCACTAACAGTGAATTCGCGCGTGCTAAAACAGAAATTATCAAAACAATGAAACCTGTGAAAGAGCGGCAGATCACGGTCCATTTTTCTGCTGATACACATTCGAAAATGGCGTGGAAATTCAAACCAGTTCAAAATGAGGTGAACATTAATGGCGTTTACCGGTTTCTATCGTGTCCGCATCAGTTTGCCGTAGCTAATGCTTTGAGCTTTCGCAGGAGTCATTTTCAAGGTTTCTGTTGCACACCACTGAGCACGTAGTTTTAATGACAACAAACACACTAAAACCAACAACCATGGGTAAATGAATACCTATGAGGATCATACACCATATTGTGGTGTATGTAGTTCGGGTGTATTAAATAGTGCACCGGTGATCACGACCGACAGCTGAACAATCTGAAGGTGGGCGTTTTCTAATCCGTCCTTCCTCGGAGCAGGTAAGCATTGCTGTTTCCTCGAATACGGAGGAGTTAGTTGCACCTGAAAGACTATTTTCCCATAATTTTATCACGGTGGAAAGTATGGCTTTACTCCCAGACATCCTTGATGTTCGATTAATCTTAGTGCGGGATTCCCGCTCTTCGGTTGGACCTTTTGAAGCTGGGTTGCACTTGTATCACTTCAGTATCCGACTACTTCAGTAAGGAAGCAGCTTCAGTTCGGGATTACGCAGCAAAACTCTTCAGCAATTCTCCCTTGGAACGACTGGTTTTAGTTGATCCCATCACATTTCTGTCATGAACGCTAGAGAATGGATTACCGGAGCTAGAGCAATTTTTCCTTCACTAGCTGGCTACACCGACTCTCCTTTAACATATACATATCACGTTAAAACGGATGACTGGTCACCTTCGGAATGACTTTCCGAAGAGCCAGGATGGTAGGCATCCTGCCTGTTTTGCGGGCCTTCTCACCGTCGGAAATAACATGAACAGTTTATTCTTGGTTTTGTACATTCCGAAACGTCTTTCTACGTCATTTTCCCGAAAAAGGTGCCTCTTGTTACGACAAGAGGAATCTAGGAATAGGGTGACATCAGCTTAGCTACTGAAGATCGTTAAGAAAGGTCGAAAATACAGCTAGATTTTACAACTTCTTTGAAAACGATTACTTACCGAGATGTTACAGTGGGAGGCGCCTATTTTTAGAAGGCGCAATGAAAGGGAACATCAGATAATCAGAAACAAATGCTCCCATATCTTGACAATCTTCCGAACTGATACAGTGAGTCGAGTAATACTGCAAACGGTAGATTCTGTTAAGGTTCTTTTGAGTCTCGCGTCAACACTGACTTAAGTTACATTATGAAAACCTTTTCGGAGCGGGAGACGGAACGGAATCCAGGAGCGATCAACTCAAAGGGGGGGTAGACCTCTTGTGTATCAATAGAAATGTGAATTAATTTCGGGTCATTTCATGAAATTGGTGTAGTCAGGACCTCTCTGATGTCCGCCGATAATCCAATGCTGGCAAAAACAAAGTCAAGGTCAAACTCAGAGTTTTCACAGGAACGTAGGGTACCACTAAAGTGTACTTTTCGTTAAACATGCACGTTTTCACCATACTACTAGTACATATAGAATGATGACTCATTTGATTGTATTGGACTCTTGACTAATATATGCGATTTGTGAACTGAACCTGCCCCCCTCTTTTCTGTCGTAACTGTGTGTGTCGCACAGTTGCGCAGTTTCGAACAGTACAATGCGACAAACTTGGCTTGCCTCGCTCCAAACAGACGTCGTACATAGTTGTGTTATTTGCCCGGTCACCGATATAACCTATATGTCCGGTCTGTTTGGTGCAGGAATTAGAAAAAGGTGTATAGTTCGGAGTGGATTGGTTTCCCTGTAGGAACTGGATACTCGTTTACTTATGTACGTTAGTGGAGCGCTAGTTCTCAGCACAGTTGGTGCGACCAGTGATGATTGGCCAAAAAGGTAGCAACTTTGTGGTGCATTTGGTTTGATGAGGCGGCAGGATAAATTGTGAGTACGACAGACACCTTACTGTGCGCCTTACTGTGTGCTACTGCGTGCCTCACTACTTACTTGAGTGTCACTCTCCTGAAGTCCACAAACGCGTTATTGTTCCCTTTCTAAGTTCACTGGTTTGCACCGCTACCCTACGCTTGAAAAATCATAATGGAGCCCATTGATGACCGTCACGTTGGAGCTGAGCTTGAATAGTTCCAGTGGGGCCAGGTTACAAGGGCCACAGGACTGACGATACGACTGGTTCTCATGTGACAGAATTTCGCGTTTCCGACCATGAGCTTGTTGACCATGTCTCAATTTTTCTTGTTTCGGGGATTGTTGTTCCTAAGGATTTTGTTGTTTTGAGTGTTTTGCCGCAGTGAACGATTACTAGAAGGATTTCGTTTGAGTTTTCTTATGGGGACGGCTGCCGTGTCACTGTAATGCATTGAAAAGGCCACATGAAGACACTAGCTCCTCCCAAATTCACGGGATTCACGTGTGTTATGCTTTCTTTCAGTTGACTGTTGTCCCCGGTGAGACAGCTCTGGCCTTTTACTCTGCTGAAAATCCCACAGATCGACCAATTATTGGGATCGCAACCTACAGTATAGTGCCAACAGAAGCATCAAAATATTTTAACAAAATTCAGGTGAGTGCTTCCTTGTTATAATTCGGCGTCAATAGATTCAGTTAGGTTATGGGGCTTATACCTTACTATGGTACTTCTTACAACACCGAGTGTTTTAAGTCGCTGACTGACGCTTTAGGTTATCGTAGGCCTTCTCCTCCTCTTCCTCCTCAGAGAAGGAGCAGGTTTACAATCAACTGGTAATACACCGCTTTAACCCCTAGATAATAATGCTTTAAAGCACATGCGCCGGGAGCATGACATAGTGCCGCTAAACGAATACCCTTAATTTCACCATCCCCATTAGTGACAACCATGGCAGATGTGGGTTTTCATCCTACAGGCATAAGAACGCTGTCTGAAAGGTGTCAGATTCCTGCGTAAGTAAGAGCTTTCGAGTGACCTGGTTACGGTTTTCTGTGGTTTTGTCCCCTTATCAAGTGTTACTTGTTGGACGTTGTTGAGTGGATAAGGTTGCGATACCTAATTTAAACTCGAATATAGTTCAGTTCACTTTAGTGGCAGTAGACCATGAATGAAGGGCACGTTGGTTCTAGCTGCTGCAGTTACGGTCACTAGAAAATGAAAGAGGGAGATGTGGCCAAGCATTTCAGATGACAAGCACTTGGTGTTCAATCCGCCTAGTTGTTTGAAGAGACAAGAAATCAGACGAGTATTCATTGAGGGCGATACGTTTGATGCATGAGCAGCGCTGACTGCTTGATTGAGCCATTTCTGTCAGTGTCGTTGGCCATTGATGACTTGAGTCCCGGGTTCCTCATCTAGAGAGGCGGCAATTGTCAATCTGAGTGAGTTTTCTGGTTACTTTCGTACTTCGCAGCTAGCTCATAACCCACCCACCTCTCGGTCGCTTCCGCTCAGCACTGGGTTGGGTAAAAAGAGTTCTGCGAGGTTGGCGGTCCTCCGGCATGTGAAGTATGTCTTAACCAGTTTAACCCATGAAATGTGAGTAGCCCAGTCATCGCAGAAGAATTCCTTATCAAACCCAATCTTGCATACCTCATCTTTCCCACTCGTGCAACTCTAACACACACTAAAACCATAGTGAAACGCTGCTTTCTACCAAACAGCCCTATAGAAATTTAGTGGCAGATACAGTGTTTTTGCCGCCGAGTTATCGGTCTACCCTAAGAAAGCTCTGCTCTGTAAAGTGCTATCCCTTTTGTTCTCCAAGTAGGATTATCATAAGTAGGAGGACTACTGTATTTCATTTTGATGAGAACGAAATTTTCACCAGTTCACAGCAGCTTTCTTTTAGGTTCATCTAATCGTTATTGGAACTTCATCAAAATACTGGTCACTAATTGGAAACTTTTCAACCTACATTGTCAATACTGATCTCACAGTCTAAGGAATTTCATTGAACTATATCCGGTAGTATCAGGTCCCGCACCATTGCAATCGGTATTCTCCAACAAAATTCTGCTACAAAATTGACCCGAACACTCACACGCGGATCGCCGAACTGTTGGCCGTGACCGTCGACGTATCACTTCGTACGTCCCTAACCTTGTGTTGATTCAAAACGCATGCGCACAGTAGCATTAGCACAGAAACCCGCATGTACTGCTCGTTTCCTTGAGTTAAGGCAGGTCCGGTCACACGCGGAAGGTTCCTAAACATAATGTCGGTGGTAAAAAGCTCATACTGGTACAGTAATACTGTCCAACATATGCGAGCCTTCGAATTCAATATGCAACCCAACATTCCACTGCGTTTGTGAATAGTAACCTATCCTTCCCTGAAGAAGGATGCAATATCATTCCGACGCATTCATGAAGGTAAATTTGTAGATTTAATTTGGGTTAGGAGGGACGTGGACCAGATAAAGCTGTCTCAAAATGCTGCATGTCAGGTTGGGAAGAAGTGAAATGAAAATGAAATCGTCAGCATATGTAAAAAGTCCATCCAAGACACCAAAATAACGCCTGTAAATATAAAAGTAAGATTGCATCTTGAAGAACGTCAGTATATCATGGAAGGATGTCGAGAGGATTGCCGTCAAACCTGTGAACTGGTAACGTAAGAAAAAACAAGCAATCAACCAGCCAAGTGGGGGAAAAAGCGCCCAGTAGGACGAAACTTATTGAGGATTTCTTTGTCCACGGTGGGAAACGTCAAAAAAATTCCAAGAGAAACGTGTGACAATAGGATTGTGTTTGTGCGAAGACGAGCAGGAAATTGAACAAGGGAAGCCGCAGCATCCGGCCTACAGCAACTGGCCTTACAAGCGAAATCGTAAGGGCATGAGAAGGAAGATGAGTGAGTAGGAATATCACGTAATACCATTTCCACGATTTCGAATAAATCCAGTGGGGTGATGTTTTCTGCCAGTTTTTAATGCAGGCTTAACACACTCGATCCTTAGACGCACGAATGCGGAGAAACTGGTGAGAGGCAATAATTCTGTGTCGTATAGTCTCACTCAACTCCTGAGCACGAAATTTGAGCCGTTAGTGCTGGAGGATATCATCAGTCGACAGGATTTGGGTATCAAGTGGATGTTGTCATTTGGAAAACGAAGGAAGCTGGGAAAATTTAAGGGCACAGTGGAATCGTCTGGAAACTACATTTAAGAGACTCGAATGCGGAGAGTCCGCATTTATGGACAGCCCTGCACGTCCTTTCATGAGTTCAGTCTTATCACTTCGTACAGGAAAGAATACCTCCGTTTCTTTATTTCTTGTATGTATGAATTAAGCTAATCTGTGACAGTGCGCTTCCACATGTGTAATAATGATATATTTTTTTAGGATGCGTAGAGATGCACGGAACTAATCAACTCCTTTGGCGAAAATGACTTTTCAATGGAAAACTTGGTAGTGTAGATTGGAGGCTGTTGAAGAAATCCAAGTCGAATGAGGATGCGTCCCATGTGAGGGATATGAGCTTAACTGGGAGTGATAGAGCTACTACTGGAGCTTTCAACAACGCGAAGCCCCTAGGGGTAATGCGGCGTTTAGAGACAAGAAATGTGATACGAATCGGGAGATTTCATGAGTATATGACCAGATCGAATCCCATCCCTGTATGACTTTTGAGCGAGATCACGGAGACCCGAAAAAAGAAAAGATTTGAGAATGACCCTATTAAGGTCCCCTGTGATACAAAGATCTCCAGTAAAGCATGACGCACAACTAGGAAAGTCGTCCACGATTTCACCCAGGACAATGTGCAAAATGGTGGATAGGATTTTGTGGAAATAGGCTGAGAATCCTGGTCCACAAGATACCATCAAACACTCAATATCACCACAGTAATATTGAGTGAGCGAAACTAAGGAGACTTCCACGCGTTCATTGTTCTTCAGAGCACAATCGAACCGGAAACAGATGTAACAATGAACAGTTGTCAAACTGGTGTCACAGTAGTTGTCCAACAATGATTCCTGGGTCGTCGTTACCTTTCAAGTTTTGTGTAGAACCTGTCGCAAATCGTCAACTCTTGTTTTTAAGAATCCGCTTTACATCAGTAAATGCGGTATGATAAAAGACGTCTTCGATACGGGTTTACTAAATAGCCTGTGGCGTCAGTCACCTCTATCACCTCGGTGATTCGCACCACGGACGGCTTCGGACGGGAAGAAATTCCGGGTAAAATCTTGTGATCATATCCAGTCCGAGAGAAAAAAGTTACGACTTTGACGGAAATCTACCTTCGGTTGAGTCCGGATGCGATAATAGCAATCCTTCCACAGACCTCTTTTTTGTGCACTTTCCACCTGTCTATACTTGTCGTTCCAAGCATGCGTTGTAACATGATAATCGACACTTCAACGTATAAGGGGACCAACGTATTTTCAGAGGTCCGGATATTATAAGAAGTTAATTCTTTCACTACACATTCCAATATGTTGTTCTGACAAACCTGTCAGTTTATTGTGCCTGCCCTCTTCATTTATAGTGTTTCTGCTTCGAGGAACAACGACTGAACCCACATGAGCAGGTGCGTCATGTTTTGTACCTTCTGTCACATTGAACGATCAAATTTGGGCCATGAAGGCTTCAGAATGTTCTTCATGCTGCTAGAGTTCCGTTGTTTATATCCTCTAAAACTAGCGGCTTTATGCCTCGGTGTTTCAGTTAATATCATTGAAAAAACTTGTTTTGGTTCTTTGTGTATTGGCAGCATGTTGTTTGGGAAAAAACAGAACACTGTTTCACACTGAATTAGATCCAATTTTGTGGTATCTGTGGATTCGATTCCTATTTTTGTGGTACATTTTGCTCCAGCAGTGCTTTAAGTCTGGGTTTCACCTGGAAGGTTTGGTGTCCAGGGTCCTCGCGAATGTTTGGGTTTTCTGAAATGGTATCCACTAATTGTGTACCATTTTGGTGCAAACAACGAGTTGGTAGTAATTCCAGTCCACCCTCAATGACAGACCATGGTCCAGATGACAGTTAGTACCTCAAGAAAGTTTGCAAAGTGAGTAGAATAATGGTAATTCAGCAAGATCTTGGAAGACTGCCAGCTTATCGGAAGGAAGGTGGTACACTGTGAAGTGCCGTCTCCAATGTAACCATTTACGTATTGTACTGGTAGAAATAGTTTGTACAATCGGCCTTTTCTGTCTCCTTTCATCTGAACGCTAGTAAAGATCGATTGAGCAATCGAACAAACTACAAGTTAGGTTGATTAAACCATTCTTAATGGCATTGGTAATTTTCCCCTAGGTTATTTCTGCCGTAAGCTTGTTGCTCAGTATAAAGGCATTCTTAGTTATTCAGCTGACGCTTGATGGCACCTTATTATTGATCGTTTTTTGAAGGACATGGAGTTTCTACACTTTTTATTAAGGCTTTCTTCCATCAGAGTTGTATGAAAGGTAACCACCAGCATGTTTTATTGGTGTATTTCTATCATTGATGTGATATGATACGATGTTAAAGCGCAAACGAAAAACATCCTCAAAAACAAAAGGAAATCATGAAGCAACCGAGAATCCCAGTTTCATGCATGAAATTCTACGCAGCAGTTGCGATAAAGACCGTGGGACAAACTCTGAAAAGTATCCATCGGTAGGTAGGATCTAATCCATTTGACCAACCTTGGGCGTGACACCAGTTGGTATGTGGCCGGGGCCGTCGAGGCATTGAATCGTATGGAACAGTCGATCTCAGCTACGGAAGCATTGCGGACCCAATATGTAACTGGTAAAATCTAAGTTCTCTCAATCCGCTTCTACGCTCACTCACAAAGCTGGGTGATGTCGGAACGCGTATCAAGCTTCCGACGAACCGCAGTATTGGTTATATTCCCTGTCACAAACTTCCTTCGGTAAGTGAAGCCAAATTTCAATGTCGCCGCCACTGAGTTTGATCGTAATCGGTGAGCTGTGTGGTGTAGGATGCGTCTTCTAAGACAGATATAGATCCTATTTTGGCCCGTCGACTGCAGTCAGCACATTTTTGACGTTCAAACCAATATTAACGAGTTAACTACCACTCAGGACAATCTCAGCAACTTGCGGAAGGTTTTCTGTTTTCGATCGGTAGACAGATGTCGGGTGATAACCGTGTCTTTCGGTGATATTCGATTGGTCTGCCATCCTGCCAGCAACGTGTTTAGTCCTGTTCAGTAATCAGGTTCTGATGTCTGCGCCTTGAGACTGCTGGAGACCAGATACGAAAATGAGATGGTTGAACTGGTTCTCCATCAATGAGCTGAGCTTCAAACACTGGTATTCCTGACAAACGCGACAAACTCGTCAAGACTACTTTGATGCATTAGTAGCGGATGTTGAACAGCGGCGTTTGATTACTGAATACATGTGATAGAGTTTGACCATTCCACGAAAGCAGAGATGATATGGCAGCCCGAAAGAAGTGAGGTTTGTGACTATTAAGGCTCCAGTATGCGGTTTTTGCGGCAACAGTCTGACTTTTCATCCGACATTGAACTTGGGAAAGCCAATTTTAAACATAGCTTCTTACCGCCTGAAAGATGAGTTGGGAGTGTGGCCAGAAAACAGCTAAATGTGAACTCTGTGCTTGAAGCCGCGGTTGCACTATAGACAAATTGGGCCTGCTTGTACTGATCGCTGTTTTCTGGATATTCAGCCTCTGAGTCATGACTCGATGGATTCAGTTTTCTCTCCGAGCTGCTTTTGCTGCTCCTGCGCCTAACCATGAACGACAGTACGGTATTGGCATGAGATTCCGCCCAACAAACACTGTGTTTCGGCAACGCACCCGATATCCCAAATGGAACAACACGAATACGCAATTTACGAAATGAAACAGTGGATCCAAACAAAAAATGGATACTTAAAAGGACTTGATTAGGCGCAAGATGGCTAGGCCGTAACGTAACGCCGATTTTGAATATATCAAGTCATACTGAGTTGGGTCAATTAGAAAATGTTTGGAAGTGATTGAGAAGCCATTGTCTCAGGATAATTTGGCAAACAATCGGTGGGTTTACAGTTGGGCAGCCTTTCGCCTTCGACACAAAAGCTTCAAGCCAAGCGGTTATCAGCAAACAGGGATAATCAACAGGAATAGCTTAGATCCGAATTGAATAGACGAGGCCGACTAAAAGTCCACGCAATCCCATCCCACCTCCAACCAAATTGCCGCAACACTTATAAACCCACACAGACCAACAAAGTTTACCGGTGACTTTGAATCTGTTGGGGCGCCCTCAACCGGAAGATCAAGGACTCGAACCCGATCAAAAATGATTCTAAATCCCTCAACTGATTAACTGTAAGATTTAGGCATCCGTACTAACCGACAAAAATCTCTAGCCGAAATTCAACACTCAACTGCCGTACTAACGAGAAGAGATTTCGGTTCTCCGTATGCCCGTAAATTGGCCTGACGAGGCTTATGTCAACTATAAGCCCACCCATTGTTTACCAGGCCCCCTGAAACGAAGTTGGAACCATTCGATAATCACCGTCACCGACAACACACCGGTGTTGAAAATCGATGACCCACTGCCTTGCGACCATAAATTTGATGCCTTATTGCTGTGATATTTAAATACGAGGAACCATTCATCCAACAATGCACTGACGATGTCCAGTCAGTCGCAAACCAGCTGTCACACTGAGTTAACGGGTTGAAAGCAGCCGCCTGCGCTCGAGCAAATAATGTTCCACAACACTACAAGAGATCCCTTGGTGATGGAACGGTTGTACATATTCCCTTGTGAACGCTACTGGTGGGCAGATATCAGCAAGTCGCACCATACACG